ACTCTAAGCTCTGCTCGACTATTTGGCTGTCTTTTTGCAACTTGCTTTTTCAGATATGCCCACAAATTTTCGATTGGCTGGCTGGATTCCTGGCTCGGTGCTGGGTAAATACTTTGCTGCGGTAAAAAGGAGCCACAATCTCTCCATATGAACCTTGTATTTTGGATCAGTGTCTTGGTAAAATTTAAACTGAGGTTTGTTGTTGACAATGAACCCAAATTTGTTTGCACTGTTTTTCAGGGGGCATTGCAGGATGTTCAGATATTGTTGTGCATTCACATTATTCTTCACAAAAACCAAATTCCCCTCTCCTTTGCTGGTTATATATCCTCACACCATGACTGAAAGCTTACCAAATTTTACTGTTGGTTTTATATTCCGCCTTTCCCGTGCTTTTAACGGCTTTCGTCGCACTCTATCGGATTCATCGTTGTAATACAGCATTATTTTAGTCTAATCGCAGAATATTACATCATCCCAATAGCTATCTGGTTGAACAAGGTACGTTCTAGCGAAAGACAAACGCTTTTCAATGTGCTGTGCAGATAGCAAAGGCTTTTTCGAGCAATTCGTTACTTGAAATTGTGGCTTCTTAGAGCTTGCCGGACTCTTTCATGAGAAATTTCAGCTCCACACTCGTCTTTGAGCTCTTTAGCAAGAGTTCTTGTCTTGTCCCGAACACTCTCCGGTAGTGTAATTATAAGAAATCAACTGAGTCATGTCAAATGATACATATCCTTTTGCCAGACATATTGATCTTTTTTAGCTTGAAATTATAGTTGCGTTCTCTAACTCGCAAGAATTTACCAGAAAGCGTTCCCGTACTCGGTGCTCTGGCAAAGTAGGTGAATAATGGGAGTTAAATTGGACCTCTCTTTGTCAGAAGTTGCAAGATTTTACCCGAAACATTTTTTCTGGTAAAATATGGTAAAGTTTCAAACCATCAGCTGTTCAAACAATTTAAAAGTTCAGTAAGCAAAAACAAAAGTACATTTGCGTTTTAACCTTATTAAATATATCGTAGCGAAGAAATATAAATATTGTTTTGAGCTTTGTACCACGATTATGTTTATTAGGAAAAATTTAAAAAATATTTGTTGAGACTTCAGCAGGGATCGAACCCGCGTCATCAGTGTGCAAAGTCAGAAGCGTTAACTACTTGAGCTATGCACACCCCGTAAACTCTTGTTGCTAATTCATTTCCTTATTCAACCGACTACTAAATTGAAAAAGCAACATTATTTGGCTTTATTGTATAGTTTCAGGCAGGCTCTTCCTAAACTATGTATTTGTCAATGTAACTGTGGCTTATTAACATTTTATTTTTAATATTGTTTTGAGCTTTGTACCACGATTATGT